GCTTAACATAAAGAGAGCCATGCTTAACATAAAGAGAGCCTTGCTTAACATAAAGAGAGCCATGCTTAACATAAAGACAGACATCCTTAACATAAAGAGAGCCATGCTTAACATAAAGACAGACATGCTTAACATAAAGAGAGTGATGCTTAACATAGAGAGAGCCTGGTAACACAAAGAAAGCCACGCTTAACAGTAAGAGAGCCATGCTTAACAAAAAGAGAGCCTTGAACATAAGGAGGGCCAGGCCTAACACAAAGAAAGAAACGCTTAACATTAAGAGAGCCATGCTTTACATAAAGAGAGCCATGCTTAACATAAAGAGAGCCATGCTTAACATAAAGAGCGCCATGCTTAACATAAAGAGAGCCATGCTTAACAAAAAGAGAGCATTGAACATAAGGAGGTCCATGCCTAACACAAAGAAAACCATACTTAACATAAAGAGAGCCGTACTCAACATAAAGAGAGCCATGTCTTACATAAAGAATGTCATGCTTAACATAAAGAGAGCCATGCCTAACACAAAGAAAGCCACGCTTAACATAAAGACAGACATGCTTAACATAAAGAGAGCGATGCTTAACATAAAGAGAGCCATGCCTAACACAAAGAAAGCCATGCTTAACAGTAAGAGAACCATGCTTAAAATAAAGAGAGCCATGCTTAACATAAAGAGAGCCGTACTTAACATAAAGAGAGCCATGCCTTACATAAAGAGAGCCTTGTTTAACATAAAGAGAGCCTTGAACATAAGAGGGGCCATGCCTAACACAAAGAAAACCATACTTAACATTAAGAGAGCCACGCTTAACATTAAGAGAGCCATGCTTAACATAAAGAGAGCCTTGCTTAACATAAAGAGAGCCATGCTTAACATAAAGAGAGCCATGCTTAACAAAAAGAGAGCCATGTTTAACATAAAGAGAGCCATGCTTAACATGAAGAGGGCCATGCTTAACAAAAAGAGAGCCATGTTTAACATAAAGAGAGCCATGCTTAACATAAAGAGAGCCATGCTCAACAAAAAGAGAGCCATGTTTAACATAAAGAGAGCCATGCTTAACATAAAGAGAGCCGTGCTTAACATAAAGAGAGCCATGCTTAACATAAAGAGAGCCATGCTTAACAAAAAAAAGAGCATTGAACATAAGGAGGGCCAGGCCTAACACAAAGAAAGAAACGCTTAACATTAAGAGAGCCATGCTTAACATAAAGAGAGCCATTCTTAACATAAAGAGAGCCATGCTTAACAAAAAGAGAGCATTGAACATAAGGAGGGCCATGCCTAACACAAAGAAAGAAACGCTTAACATTAAGAGAGCCTTGCTTAACATAAAGAGAGACATGCTTAACATAAAGAGAACCGTACTTAAAATAAAGAGAGGCATGCCTTACATAAAGAATGCCATGCTTAACATAAAGAGAGCCATGCCTAACACAAAGAAAGCCACGCTTAATATAAAGAGAGCCATGCTTAACGTAAAGACAGACATGCTTTACATAAAGAGAGCCATGCTTAAGTTAACATAAAGAGAGCCATGCCTAACACAAAGAAAGCCATGCTTAACACTAAGAAAGCCATGCTTAATATAAAGAGAGCCATGGCTAACACAAAGACAGACATGCTTAACATAAAGAAAGCGATGCTTAACATAAAGAGAGCCATGCCTAACACAAAGAAAGCCACGCTTAACAGCAAGAGAGCCATGCTTAACATAAAGTGAGCCATTCTTAACAATAAGAAGGCCTTGAACATAAGGAGGGCCGTGCCAAACACAAAGAAAGCCATGCTTAACATAAAGAGAGTCATGGCTAACACAAAGAAAGCCATGCTTAACATAAAGAGAGTCATGGCTAACACAAAGAAAGCCATGCTTAACATAAGGAGGGCCATGCTTAACACAAAGAAAACCATACTTAACATTAAGAGAGCCATGCTTAACATAAAGAGAGCCATGCTCAACATAAAGAGAGCCATGCTTAACATAAAAAGAGCCATGCTTAATCTAAAGAGAGCCATGAACACGCTTAACATAAAGAGAAATAACAGAGCCATGTTGTATCAGTTGTATCATGTGGGGATCCGGGACAGAATGTGCTTAAAATCTTCCGTAACATCATGCCTAATATACAAAGAAATGGACTTTCAAAAAGGAATCAAGCTTAACTCCAAGCTTGACACACAGAGATCTGGAGTGATAATTTTAGAAATGAAAGTTTCTAAAGTTGTACAGAAAGGTTCATCGCAATAACAAACGGTACCCACAAAGTATTGAAAACTGCCGCTTTGCCCCTACGTGATACGTGTTGAAAAGACTGCATGCACTTTGAATATAAGGGAACACGAAACTATTTTGCTTATAGCTTCAGTATACCTCCTTTATTGACATATTTCCTGGAACAAAAATCCAGACCAACAAGAGAGACTTCACATGTCAACAAATTACTTTCATGGCACACTGGTAATTAATTAAAGGCAAAATGAAACGCATACCCAATCATACATTTTCATGTTTTTCTGTTAATATCACCGTTCCTGGTTCAGAGTGTGCCACGTTAATGGATTAGGTGTGTGATGATCGTGGCAAGACGGAGTTGGTCTTGTGCTGACCTTCACAATAACACACGTACAGGCAAACTTAAAGTATACAATGTAGGTAATCACGATACCCCACTTAAGACTTATTTACATTATCAAAACTTTTAATTTAGTTGGCTTTTTGATGAAAGAACATAAGTCATAGAACATGCTGTAAAGCTTGCTAATCTCTAAAAGATGTAGCAGTTTTATTCTGATCCCTTTTCATAAAACTGGTCTTAGCAGCACATATGATACCTAAGAGGGTATCAGATAAACTGATTGAATAAACCAGCACGACGGCACTTTATCGATTTAAAACGTATGTTCTTTTGTGATAGGAGTAAATTAAAAAAGATGACAGTATCGTTATCTGGAATGTCGAAACAAGACTTAATGGGCCGTTCACGCCAGGCATTCCTTGAAAAGCCACTTGGACTAAATGTAAATCACTCAGAACGAACTCTTAATAGTGAGTTCTAAAGGGTGATACTCTTTGCAATGCCAATATTACGCTTGTATGTGTTCTAAACTGGCCGTAAGTGACAGAAAGACTACTTGCCTCTTGTCATTAACTCGGGAAATCCACTTATTTATGGATATGATTTCATCAAAACACTATTAGAGTCTAGACTCATCTGTGTTAAAAGAGCACTTTGTGGAGACAATCCTCTCTAGTAGGGTTAGACTGAGCGGGCTTTTCACTGAGGCACGGCTGACGGATGCGTTCTGCCGTCTCACTGTAGTTAGTTGCTGGGAAAGACGAACAGAAGATTCCCGGTAACCGCCCTGACATTTTCTAGTTAAATGTGTTTAGGAAATATGTTTCTGGGATCACGGATTGAACAAATGGGCATTTAAGAGATCAAAAGATTTCATTTTTTGGACGGGAAATCTCGATCAATTAGGGCGATATTTAGGAGGGAGGTATTGTATGTATTGCAACACAATAACACTTTTCTATAGACGACGCCAACACGATGGCAGAACAGAAAGGATGCTCGCTCGCAAAACCAATAATATGGTGTCTGGAAGTTCCTATGGTAAAGTGGTCTGTCTGATTCCAGGAATCGTATTTCTAAAGAACATTACAGAGAGTCCAGTGAGAGTGTGAAAGCTGGGATTGCATTACACCAAACGTTGCAAATGTACCATTGCAATCATTTCTGCTAATGGCACTGAGACAATGGACATCTGCAGAAACGAGCTTCGATGTTCAGACCACTGCATTGTCGGTGTGAAATAGAAGGAAGAAAAATCAATTCAGATGTGACAACAAAGATCTTGTTGAGGTTTGTTGCCGGGCTGGTGCGGGATATGTTAACACATTCTGTAGTCTATGGTGTCCTTGTTTTGCGTAATTCTGGAATGGATCAGCGTTCAAATTATCCCGACTGTATTCTCCTTTTTATCTGATGCGCGTTAACAAGACCACACTGATACTTACTCCCTGGGACTTCCATAATCTTTCTACCATTAGATTGTCTGAACAGTGGAGGGAACTCAATTATTTTGGCAGTTAAAATTGAAATGGCTTCTTTTATCGAAAATGTAAATTTGCTGAGGAAAAGCATGCAACATACTGGATGCCATTGACTGTCCACGTCGTCGGGATATTACTGGGATGGCACAAGAAGGCACAAATATACCAACTCACTCTCAAATGTGGGGTGGATTCGAATCCCGGTTTGCCCCCTTATGTTTGTAAGTTTGTCAGCATCATACTCGTGGGTTTCGCCAAAGTGGTAAACGAGACCTTATTTCGGGCTTACTTCCCACATTAAGCTGACACGCCGTCATATAAATGGAATACTGTTCAAAGGGGCGTTAGAAACCCAACTCATTAACAAATGTAGGAGGAAAGTCTAACATCTTACAGTCATTATACACCTTGGTAATACCCACAATCACGAATGTGACGTTAGCAAACTAAACCCAACACACAATCACCGCTCCCTGGCACAACTAAGGGACGCAACTCTGCAAGGCAAATATAGGCTTATTGACCACCGTTGTAACGAGGCGTGAATCATCCTCGATTACCAAGGGTATAATATCTCAAGTCTATTGTGATAAAAACCCTTGATCCGTTCGCCCCAATACATGCAGCATTGTTCAGGAACCTGACCTCAACATCTTCAACCTCGCACATAATGTCTCCCACTCATGGGTGTAGTTTGAGTCAACGGCTATTTAGAGCGTCTACTATTTCGAATCAGAATGAAAAAAACAGAATTGACATAAATTGCCCTGAATAACCGAAGATGGGCTTGACTGATTCCCATCTACACATGCCTTTGTTATCTTATCCCAACAGCGTGGATACTTGTAGAGTAAATTGTTTACTGACCGCCGTCATATACCTGGAAAATAACTGAGCACCGCGTTAAACAAACAAACAAACAAACAACAGACAAACCTCGTTGAAGTAGTTGGGTTGTAGTCTCTCCATGATGTACTGTTGTTGTTTCCAGTTCAGGCCGCCGGCGATGAGTTCTATACGCAGGGAGTCTGCCTTGATGAAGTTAGAGTCTCTGTCGGAGTTGACGTTGCAGTAGAACATGGCTTTGTAAAGGTTCATCTTGCGCTGAATGTCCAGGAGGTCACAGATCTCAATCAGATGCTTTGAAACGGGGCTGGAGGGACAGAATGAATGTGTGAGTTGTTGAGTGAGTGAGTGAGTGAGTGGGGTTTTACCCATTTTCAGACACGCTGAAATGAGTGAGTTAGTTTGCCGTTTGGAACAGTGCAAGTAATTTCACGGCATACGCTCAGCGGGAGTAGAAATTCCAATGTGATGAAGGATGTTTTCGTGTTAAGCAGGTGAACAATTGACTTGCCTTTGCATGTGTTTGTAACATTTATCACCTGATATCGTCACATGCTTAGACGGAATCATACTAAGGATTCTGCTTTAGATTCCTAAGGATAATGAGGTGAGGTGAAATGGGGTTCGACATCGCATCCAAGATTATTGCACTTATATAGCGACGTGCATGTACGTGTGTGTGTTTGTGTGGCTGCTTGTACTAGTCCGGACTGATGCCGATTTATAGTGCTAGCTCACTGAAATACCATGCCGCAGTTTAACATGAATATCCCACTCAGACACAGTATACTGACTCCGAGCCGACCAGTCCTTGTTTTAGCCCCTTAATGCCGAGCGCCAGACAGGGTAACAACAAGTACCATCTTTTAACGTCTATTGGTATGACGCAGCCGGGGATCGAACCCCGGACCTTCTGCTCTCCGGGCGGACGCTCTACCACTAGACCACGGAGGCGGTCTAAGGATAATGGAATTGGACTTGTCGCTTATATTTAGACGTTTACCAATTTGGTGAAACGAACGAGCACACATATGGTGCAGACAAATGAAGGGGTATTTGGAATGTTTACGTATTTTGTTCTAGACAAAGAGGAGGACGCTCAGTTTGGACTTCACGCATTGTACTCATGTGGGAATCGAACTCGGGTCATTGGTGTGACGAGACGACACGGTAACCACAAGCCTACTCTCATGGAGAAAAGGGCGTAACAAGCACCACAGACCTAGTTGTTTGATATTCGTTAAATCAGAAGTGATATGCACACAAGTACAGTCCACTCCTGATGTCACGAACTCAAAGGATTCCTTTGACAACTGTTAAACCGACATTCGTAATTCACATGACAAGAGACGTCAACTATAACTGCTGCGGGATGAGGATTGACTTGTTGGTTGGAGACGATGTGTCGCAATATGAGATTTGTCATTATTATTTCATATTATTCAGCTATTTTTCCACAGATCGTATCTATTACTATTAAAACCAAATTTAAAACAGAAAGATGTATTGTATGTAGGTGAGCGCCTCAAGCACGCTACGGATCAATTAGACCTACGGATCAATTAGACCTACGGATCAATTAGACCTACGGATCAATTAGACCTACGGATCAATTGGTCCTATCGGTGGAATGACTAGCTCAAAGCTGCCGTTCAGCTGGCCAAAGATATTTTTTTATTCCTTAAAATCAACTTTCAAACTCACTCCATCTGTGTGACCCTTTCCGACAGAGCTGAGATGACGGAAAACATCCTGAAGGTGATCTGGCTGGCGTCATCGATCTTCAACACCTGGGCAAATAGACAACAGTGATTACTAGTGCATCGATGGTAATCACTTAGCATATATGCAGAAAATCACTTTTAAAATGAGCTCTTAGGAACTAATTTAACACTTCCAGTAGTTAACTGGTCTACTGTTGTCTCAAGCCGTCAACGCGGCAGATATACGGCCGCTAACCATGAGTGAATGAGTTTGGTTTAACGCCGTTTTGAAGTATTTCAGTTATACGTGTGTGCTTGATGTTGGAGGAAAGCCCGAAGTGATGCAGGTCGCAGATGTTTAGACTTTTGTGAACCGCACATGCCAAAGTATAGTACTGACAAACAAAGAAACATAATCAGAGTAAACCGGGATTCGAACCCACGACCATAGGTTTCTGGCATGCAACCATATGTCGCAACTCTGAACGGTGACTCTGACGACAGGGCCAACCGTGCCCAAGTCTATGTCACAGTCCCCGAACCATATACTAGTAATGTTCCCTTCCGCCCAGTCCTGTAATTACAGCCCTAAATGAAGTCTAGATTTTCCACAGGTTTTTATTCTCCCATCTCACTGAAGCTCCTTTTCAATTTAAATTGAGTTGTTTGTTTCTATCAAAATCATATTTTTTTAGAGACTAAGCGTTAGTCTAACTGTGTTCCTGCGTCTTACATTTAGCTATGACCCATCGTTCACGGACAGCGTGCTTCCAATACACACAGCATACAGACTCGCATCAGAAGAGCGATCATCTTCAGGGTAATAAAAAAGCTAGATCGATTTTACCAATCTAAAAAAGACACAGATTTCCAGCGATAAAGGCAGTCTTGAGTAAGACATTCATGTACGTGATGTGTATTGTTGTAACTGTATAAGGATTTTTCTTCTTTTCGACAATTTAATTATCTCCAAATGCTTTAGTTCTCTAACTGGACAAGGAACCTTGACACTTAACATCGTGTTATATATCTAACCCCCCCCCCCCCCCCCCATACAGTACAGTTAATATACAGCTTATAACGAATTATCGGATATAACGAACTGTTTTTTGGTCCCATTTTGTGTAATTATGTTGCATATGTGCTTATAACGAACTAGGTTATTACGAACTAAATTTAATGGTCCCTTTAAATTCGTTATAACCGTAGTTTACTGTATATTATATATGTGTTGTAAACACGTTACTTCCAGTCATAAAATATAATGCTAAAAATAAAATATACATTAGCAGTATTTATCGCTTGTTGTCACGTCGGTTCCAAAGCCTGGCATCAATGAACTATTTTCATCATCTGAGTTGGGGTGGAGTGGTAAAGTGGTCCAATCGTCGAAGGGGAACGCCAGAATCCTATGATTGTGGGTTCGAATGCCGGTTCGGTTGAATATGTTTAGGGACTTTCGTTGTCAGAAAATGAACCATTACCATTTTTTTCTCATTTTTCTGGTTAATGCCAATGATTGAAGTGACGGACAAAACACTCAATCTGTCGTATCGAGATGTGATCATATTCGAGTTGAGAAAACGTGTAAGTAATATTAATGACTGTAGAAACTTTTAAAAATATTTGCAGTAATTATCAGTGGCAATAAATGATTGAACTACAAGTAAAAAGTATCAAAGGCCTTCGTGGCCAGATTTAAACAACGGTCGGCGCCAATGAGTGAATATGAGTTCTCGCCCTTGTATGCGTGAACATGACAGGCTTGATCGTTTGAGAAGTTTCTGCATGGGGCAGAAGGCTGACTATACCTACATAAGAGCGACAAGAGGGCCATTCAAAGCCTTTTTCAACCTGACTAGTGTCTCATCTACTTGGCAAGTGCTGATTGAACACCGATTTTCTGCCAGTTTATTCTTTATTCTATTCTGGATTCAAGCACGGAGACAGGCATCTTTCCTTATTTGACCCCTTGTATTACCATTGTAATTGGACCCGTGAAGATCCGGGCTAGAATAGGTCTTCAGCAACCCATGCTTGCCGTAAAAGGCGACTATGCTTGTAATAAGAGGCGACTAACGGGATCGGGTGGTCAGACTCGCTGACTTGGTTGATGTATGTCATCGTATCCCAAATGTGTAGATCGATGCTCATGATATTAATCACTGGATTGTCTTGTCCAGATTCGATTATTTACAGACCGCCGTCATATAGCTGGAATACTGTTGAGTGCGGCGTTAAACAACAAACAAACAAACAAACACACCATTGTATTTGTAAACCTAAAACTGTGCGATTCAATATAATGTATTGATTATTCATTTATCTTGTGTGGCCGTTTACTGATTTCACAATTTCGTTCTGTATGTAATGATGTCTACGTTAACATTTACATTTCAGTTTGGAAATGACCTTGTAACATTACCGGGAGTCAACCTTCTTTGAGATACCGAAAGCAGTGCATGAGGGCAGGACGTAGTATTCGTGTTATAGCTCCCCGATCGACTTAACTTTACATGCTCTTTACCATACATACTTTATAACGTATTCTTTTAGTGCACACACTTCTTGCAAATCAATTAACCTAGAAACAAGTTACAAAAGCTCAGTAAGAAATTCCACGTCATCCATATTTGGTTTACAAGTCAAATCTTACACTAAACAAACATATAGATGTAATTGCAAACTTTCGAACCATATTAAAACCCATTTTTCCAAATGTAATGTTAACGAGTTGTCATCTGGGTTGGATGTCGCGGGCACCGTGACTTCCCTGCTCCCAATCCTTTCATCTCACACTGCACAAGCCTGCCTACAAATTCCGACATATTTCCTGACAAGGATCGCCGTTGATCCCCAGTTCAATGAAGCATTTGTCAAGTTGCATGTGTCTCGGCCACCTATCTTGTTGGAGAAAGCAGAACGTTGCCTGTAGTCCTTGCTACGACGTTTTTATGACCAACGCGGGCGAGGCTTTCCTTCATTAAAGCAAATAATACGATCGTCGTTGGCTCGGACATTGGGCCGTTTTTCGCTAATCGGAGTAACCAGATGGGACTGTGACACGCTAATACTCAATCCGAATCCTAAGTTGAGCCGCGGTGATGGATTGCTCACAGCTACCCGCTGTATCACTCCGCGTTCTACTTAATCCATTAATTACAAGGTCACCGATACCATTAACACCGCATTATTTCATTATTACGCCAATGTGTAAATGCCATGCAAAACTAAGTTCCAAGGAAGAAATTTAAATTGGTTTAAATTTAAATCGCGATTACGTGAAACGCACGAATAGACCCGACTTTTCTCTTAAAATTCAATTTCAAAAATCAAATGACGACCATGGAAATGTATTTTGGTGAATTCACGTAAAAACAACCAATTTTGATTATAAATGTGAATAAAATATAAGCAGAATAGTGGTGTGCGCCTGCAGATTACAGTGTGGCACGGATGTGTGTGATTTCCTTAATTCTCGCGCAGCGAGTTGAAGTCCCTTTGGGATCGCAGTCGCGTTGTTTTGTTAAGATTAACATAGAAAACAGATAAAGATGAGCGCATTGGGAGGTGAGTGAGGCGCCAGAGTGATTACATCGAGAAAATATAGGAATTGTCTACGCAGATGCGATCTCTCCACCAAGAAGCCTATCGGGATGGTTACCTATTATACATTTTTTCACCACCGTGTTGTATTTTATGGAAGCAATTTCAGTGTTGATCGGTTGAATCAGTTGAAAAAGATTCTTAAAATCTCGATTTTTTTATTCAATCATGAAATAAGCTTTTTTATATAATATTATGTTATAACGCCAATCAAACATTTTTTGTACATATTTTATACCAGTTCGCAGTCATTATTTACACGTATGGTAGGATATTAGTCAGCTACGCTTATATCTTTACTGTTGTGAGTCATAAGGTTCACAGCGGATCTCCGTCATGTGGACAGATGGCTTAAACTGATCGAAACAGACATAAAAGTCTTGACAGTGCTGGTTCAATGTGAAAGTACATTTTGGTCTCCAGTAAGGTGAAAGTTAATTGTGCAAGTGTGAGTGAGTGAGCTTGGTACGTTGCTTTGAAAACAGTATTCCCAAGCCTAAACTGATGGCCACTGGTTTAGGTTTACCGGTTTAGTGGAACCACGAATACTGGTATGATTCTGAAACACAATCAGGATAAATCTGGAACGTTAACACTCGATCGTAGGTTTCTGGCAGGACTTAGGGCCGTAACTCTGCTTTCAAAACATTTTATGGTCGACATGTGGAGGACATTTACAAATTTGTAGCATCGGTGATAAAATGATGTCCGATGCAATTCCCTATTTAAATTTGTACCAGTTATTGCCGTGTTTTTTTCAGGTGAACAATTGACTTGCCTTTGCATGTGTTTGTGACGAGTGCCACCGGTTTGGCAGAACACGCTCACCCTTTAGCGAACACCTGGTATCACCATTATTTGATAATGATTTATAAACACATGCCATGATAAAGTCAGAATCGTACAATCGACAATTTTTGGCAGAGATTTCTTATAAATATGGAAAGGGATTTTGTCGCTTTTATTTTTTATTATTATGATCATCCTAAAAGACCACTGCCTGTAAAGCTCACCTTCAGGACGTATTCCATCTGTTTTGCCGTCATCTGCTGGATGGTAGGGACGCCGTCAAGAGCGATCCGTGTCTCCTGGCAACAGAAAGAGATATTTTATGTCTTATACCTCTGAAGCACCTGGGACAAAATGTACCATAAATGTAGAATACATCAAGACGTGGGCGTTAGTGTATATGGATGTTATTGCCATTAACCGACGTGAATTCGACGTCTTAACTTTATCAGTGACCAAACGTGAAACATACCCAGCGTTAGAAATTGGCACTCGTCCGAGAGTCCTTGTAAGACTGCCCAATAGTTAGGATATCCTAAGGACGAGTGGAAATTTGCCATTTTTAAGGGTTTTGCTATATGATATCGTTATGAGGACCAGTGGACTAAAACTGTTAGTTTCTATCGTTCATACCTACCAGGTCATGTGTATTCAACGTCTGGATATATTACTGACCCCTGTAGATTCAACATCCGGTTTAGTCGTTAATACTGATCGATCATAACTCAACGTCAAACATGTTAACTGACCAAAACGGATTCATCTTTTACACATACCCGTTGCCCCAGGAGGATACAGCGTTTTTACGTTATTATAACACTTCTGGATATGAGTAAGTGAGTATAGTTTAATGCCGCTTTAACAAGCATTCCCTGTCACTTAATGTAGGTGAAAAGCCCGAAGTGATGCAGGTCTTAGAAGCTAGCCACTTTGGTGAACCACACGAACACGGGTATGGAGCTGACAAACGTAGAAACATAATCAGGTCAGCTTGATGTAGGAGAAAGTGATGCAGGTCTAACCTTCACCACTATGCTGAGCACGGGTGACAAAACTAGAAACATAATCAGCCGAACCGGGATTCGAACCCATAATCGTAGATATCTGGCGTTCCGAAGGGACGCAACTCTGCACAACGAATTGCGGCGCCTTATACAGATGTGCCACCCGGGCCTCGTCTGGATATGACACTGAAAGAGACTTACCCCTGCGTTAATGACTGTATCGTAATCCTCGTCCTCGACCGCAAAACATTTGGCGTACGCATCCAACTTCTTGGGGTCGACCAGGCGGTAGTGGGACAGGAAGTCAATGTCACCTACAAGGTCAAGGTCACGTGATACCACAAATTATACATGTTCACATACCAAACATAACATTTGTGGAGGCACAAAGTCAGAAGGTTCTTGTTTGGAATTGGTTTACGTTCTTGGCACATTTACGACTCTGGTGGGGTCAGTGATGGAATCACATAGGCCACATGTATTGTTCGATTAGGAAGAACTACGCGTTTCTGCAGACTTAATAATTAAACTCAGACTGTGAAATAACCGGTCGACTAACATACGTATAGTCCCCGATATAAAGATATAAATAAGGTTAAACAAAACAAAAATCTATTTAGGAACCCATGATGTATCTAGGCTCATGACTATTAATGTCAGGAACAAGGATAGGGGATGAAAATAGGTTGCTAGAGCTGTGAAGGGGGTGAGAGTGGAATCGGATCTGTAACAGAGACTGAACAACTGGTTGAACTATAAATTGAGATAGTGCCCCTTTTCGCACGCGGTACTAATTACACAATCTGCACCAGAAATCTCATCAGGTGGCGTTTATTATCTCGACCCAGGGCAAGAAAGGTCTTCGCATGAGCTTAAACAGAACTTTAGTATCTTTCCCTAATCGCAACATTCGCCATTTCCAGTTGTTATTTATTAGTGAGTGAGTGAGTGAGTTGGGTTTAACGCCGCTGTTTAACAGTATTACGGTTATATCGCGGCGTGTCAGCTTAATGTGGGAGGAAAGTCCGAAGTGATGCAGATCTCAGACGTTTACCACTTCGGTGAAACCCACGAGCATGGGTATGGTGCTAACAAACATAGAAACATAATCGGGGCGAACCGGGATTCGAACCCACAATCATAGGTTTCTGGCGTGCCCAAGGGACGCAACTCTGCACAGCGAATCGCGGCGCCTAAGACGACTGGGCCGGCCGTGCCCCCTATTTACCATTGAGTTAGGTTGGGGGCTTTGGATGTGTGTGTGTGTGTTAGGTATGGCGTTGTGGGGAGGGGTGGGGAGGGGTGGGTGGTGCTGTATTATACTTTGCCGACTCCCTCAAAATACATGTGACATTTGTTCATGACCCCCCTCCCTATAATAAATGACCAGTTCCATCATAACGCTCAATTTATTATATTTTTATTTGCAAAACTAGAAGTGTGTTATTCTCTCAAGGCCCCTTCCTATAGTTGTTATTCGTTTTGGCGTACCCCTCTTTCGCTGTAATTTTTTCCATCAGCCACTACTCTCATATAATAAAATCGTCGACTCAAAGACAGGTATCCCTAATAGTCATTAGGGTTGAACGCCACTTTGAACAATATTTCAGTTATATCACGGCGTGAAAAATTAATGTGACAGAAAAGACAAAACTGAAGGAGGTACAAGTTTTACAGTTTTGGTCGTGATATCCATAATCAATTCGAGTTGAACTAATGATCACAGGATTCTGGCACACCCAAGGGAGACAACTCTACACCAATGCCCAGAAATTCCAAATGAGTCATCTCAGGCTATTCTGTGATGCAGACTGACCCTTCTCGTCCAGGTCTTTTGCGTAGTCCTCTCCGAGGTTGGACTGGTCCATCACCTTCTTGATGTGGTCAAGGATGGCCTGTCCACCTCTCCTCATCAACACGTTCACACGCCGGGGACCGCGCACTGTGGGGACAATGATGGGTATAGGTAATATATCACACTGCGTTAAACACACTATAATATTTATGTTCATGTATGCATGAGAAAGTTAACTTCTCGCAGTACTGACCGTCTTTAGATGTCCTCTTAACCTAGCTTGATCGACTGGTTTGACTGTTCCAAATAGATATTTAGGTTTTTATCAATTGTTTTGAATCGTACAAATAGTTGAAAATGAATTCCACTTCACGGTGGGTAATTTCTTGTATAATGTGCAGACGAGTCATGTGCGAAGAAAATATATGTATTCAAACAAACTCACGAGTTGAAATATCCAAGTCACTGTCGTTGGCGAGGTCGTCAGTTTTGACGTCACTGTCGTATTCATCAAGCTTCTTTGTGCCAATCGTTTTCTTCTTGTCCACAATTTGGATCGCACCACCAAATTTCTCCTACAAGAAGAATTTATTCATTAACTAAAAGTAGTCATTTTTTTTATTATTAGCAGCTTATATGATCCAGAGATGACAAAGTGGTATGATCTTTGATCTTTAAACTCTAATAACGATCAGACCGATGAAACGAATTTATTGTTTAGTCCCGGTCGTTTGCTGTATATATCCTTATAACGATCTACGGTTATTACAAACTACAATAAGTGGTCCTTTTGAGTTCGTTATAACCGTAGTTTACTGTCTTATACAATCCGTGTAGATCATTTGGGCATATGGCTTTGACTTAAAGGCAGGGGTAACGTGTTGGCTATGGTAGTCATGGGGTGTCCATTTACAAATTACGAAGTATCCATTTTATACAGGCAACGATATCAATGATCATCAGTTGGCAATATATATCGTCGCTATATAAGTGCAATTATCTTGAACGCGACGTTAAACCCACTTCACCTCACCATACCTCACCTCACCTCACCTCAAATGTTCAGTGTGAGAGGCAAACCATTAAGGTTTTAGAGGCGAGGACCGTCTTCACAAGACAATCTTAGTGCTACGATTGCCTTAGTGCTCTGCTAATTCTAGCATATGCTGCACGCTCCTGTGTAGAGTTACTGCCAAATACTAGACAGTGTTCTTGGTACCAGACTCAAGCTGAGGCATTGTCTCTGCGTAATTAGGGTCGCCATTAACTGCTACTTGGTATACATATTCTAACAAAGTTTTATCTTTGGGACTTAAGACAAATCGTTCCAAGCCAGCTATTATTTAATTGTAATAGTCGAAGCCATGCAATAGTTATTTCCCAAATTTGCTTTCACTTTTGTAAAATATAAACAAGTTACCAAACTTGGGATAGTTCTAAATGTATTATTTATACGTAACGTAAAAGGCGACAATGCTTGTCGTAAGAGGCGACTAACGGGATCGGTTGGTCAGGCTCGCTGACTTGGTTGACGCATTTTATCGTATCCCAATTGCTCGATTATTGACAGACCGCCGTCACATAGCTGGACTTTTGCTGAGTGCGGTGTTAAACAACTAACAAACAAACAATACATTGACAGGCAAATAGGGATCTGCAGCACCTTCAACACTGATTCCATATTTGCATAGTCGAGTTATTAGTCTGCGGTTACATAACTTAGCCGCCTCCTCTATGAAGTAGATGGATGGAGCGTGTTAACTTGATAACAAGCTTGCAGACAGTGTGGACATACGGTCGGAACTGGACACGCTACCAACACCTTATTGTCATCCTGAAGTCTATAAAAAAAACGTTTTCACATTCAGCACGCAAACAGGTGTTTATGCGGTTACACAACTTCTGTGAATATGCACTAGGGCAATGCGTGGCTAGCTGTCGTATACATTTCATTTTACTGGAAACCCATTATACATGGGTTGTATACTTTAAAGTCATAGACGGGTGACATGTAGCCTTTATGAGGAACTGAAGCGTTATGTGTCTCGGGCTTTGCAAATTGATTATTCTCCTGCGGGTATTTCTTATTGTTTGTTTATAGCTCTTGCGAAACTAAGAACAGGTATGATTGACATTCTAACGACGATCCTGGCGTCACGTAGGTTTTATCATCAGTAGAAGTAAGCATTTCTTTTAAAACTGGAAGACAATAACAGCCTATTATGATGAATAACAGAATTAGCTACACAAGGAAATGAAACGTTCTGCAAATTTTATTTCAACTTTTGTACTTGTGGAAAAGTTTTAATTAGATCAAGTTTAATATGTTGTTGACACTCTATACATCCCCAGTGATTATACCCAACACTACACACCACACACACACACGGAGACAGAGAAAGAGAGAGAGACACACACACAACAGACGTACACACACCACACACAAAAACACACACATACACATGACACACATACACAGACACACAACACACACTCAGATACACACACATACATACACACACCACACACACACACACACATACAGATACACAAATACATACACACACAGCCACACACACACCACACAGATACATACACACACCACACAGATACATACACACCACACATACTCACACACCACACACAGATACGCACACACACACAACCCACTGCTTACCCTCCACACCACACAAACGCACCCATCTGCTTACCCCCAACGCTACACACAAAAACCACTGCTTAACCACACCCCGCCCTTCACACACGTACACGCACACATTACACACACACGCACGCACGCACGCACACACGCACGCACGCACGCACGCACGCACGCACACACACATTAGATACACACATAGCACTTCTTAACACCAACATTACAAACACGCACCCCACAAACCGCCATCCCAATACTGCATGATGTGTACGTATACGTCTTGCATTCATACGCATGCTCATTGATCGGTTCAGGAACACTACCTTCAGGAGTCGGGCAATCTCATGTTTGGAGAGGTTGGGGTCAATGCCGAGCTTCCGGAGGTCATCTGCGGTCAGTTTACTGAGGTCAATCTTCTTCTTTCCCTCCTTCAGTTTAATCTGCCCCTTCTCATCCACCTCGAAGTAATCCCCGTCCGACTCCGCACCTGCAACACCAACCAACCATTTGGTCTTCAGCATCCTCAATAGCCTTGTCTCAAATGGCTTAACTGTTTGATGTAGCGATGTGTTCACGCTGGTCAACTCCACAGTCAAGGTCATTTAAGCTAAGTCAAGGCAGTCTGTAAGAGGTCGAATCTGGACCAGGAAAATCCGCGACCTGTCCAACGATCTATGTCATTTGGACACGTGAAGCCAAGCTCTGACCTGGCCTGGCCAAGCAATAGAGTGCTGGGGTGTATTCTAACCCTGGGCCCCAAAGGGTTTTCGCGAACGCTTACACATATATTGATATGAAGATTAATTTCACTCATATTCCCCTACATGATACCATGTGTGGTCACCCCCCATCCAGGGTGCCGTTGTACGAAATAACCTAAGCGCTACGACTGTCTTAAGTCTATGATTTGTTAAGATGTGGGTGTTACGATCGCCTTAGCGATAAGATCGCTTCATACAACGGCACCCTTGAATATTGAAAAGCGCGGCTTTAAACCTCACTCATGATCATATTCAGGTCCGTATCTTCAACGATTTCTCCTAGTTTTTGAATCAACACATTCCTCTATGTCTCCTTGGAGGAAATTAGTATCTGTTTCTATAAATCATTGCGTATTTATCAACAAAAAAATTGAAATTGTCCTAATGTTGTCTGTATTTTTGTTGTGACATTTTTATTGAATGTGAATAAAATTATATTTATTGACAGCACTCACTTCCTTTTCGTTTCTTCTTGACAGCTTTGACCTTTCCGTCGGCGTCTGCAGGTTGAAAGTGTCATACATGTAAAATACTCTGATAAAATACAATGGCGTTTTAATAGATTTCCAGCAGTACACAAGTAGAACAAGTAGACCCGTCATGGCGATAGACACTTTGCTTATATCATTAATCTCTGCAAGTTAATCTCCTTACAGAGACACGGCGTCGCGTATGTATATAAATACTGACTGTAGATGTACGTGGTGCACAGAGCCTAAACATAATCAAAATGTCGTCTGGAGCTCACCTATATGGGGACAAAACAAACCGCTTCCGTATCAATTTCCGTTTGTTTTGATATTGCGGTAAAGGGTACACATGGCGTAAGATAAATTCGTGGTAGGCTTATACTTCACGGAATACGTTTGATGAGCCCCGTCTGTCTTCTCGAGGTGCACGGAGACACACAGGGTTTGTTTGTTTGCTTGTTTGTTGTTTTACGCCGCACTTAGCAATATTCCAGCTATATGACGGCGGTCTGTAAGTATACGAGTCTGAACCAGACAATCCAGTGATTGACATCATGAGCATCGATCCAGGCAAAGGGAATCAACCGAGTCAGCGAGCCTGACCACCCGATCCTGTTAGTCGCCTCTTACAACAAGCAAGTCACCTTTTACAAGCATTGGTGGCTGAAGACCTGTTCTACCCCGGATCGTACATCAAACCGTATTCTCTCGCAATAACCTCAATTGCTTAATTTTACTTATATACAGTAATGGACGTGAAACAAAGATAGCATGTGTAATCTTCTTCTTCACAGCCAAGCTGCCGGGCAAAAACTGTACACACTGTACTGGACATTGTATGTGACCAAAACATTACCCACATTATGTAGACGCACGGTCGGAAACACAAAGATGATACCCGTATCCAATATATAACCATCGAACAACAACAGCTACTACTACTACTGCTACTACTCCTGTTGCTACTACTACAACTACTACTACTACTACTACTACTACTATCACCACTACTACCATCACTACTACTACCATCACTACTGCTACGACTACTACTACTACTACCACTACTACTACTACCACTACTACTACTACTACCACTACTACTACAACCACCACTACTACTACCACTACGACTGCTATTACTACTGCTACTACTACTACTACTACTACTACTACTAACTACTACTACAACAACTACTACTGATAACGACAACGAAAATAAAATCAAATCAATCAAATCAAATAAAATCTTACCATATTCATACTCATATTCGGAGCCGCTGCTCTCCCCATCCTGAAACAGACAAGGTGATTTATACGATAGTTTTCATGCTTACAATACTGACAGGTATAACAACTTTTAGTTTGTGTTCGTTGTGAAGCAAATGCAGTGCCATTTTCTTACCTTTTTAATTCGTTTCTTGGAGATGATTCTTCCCTTGTCATCGTATTTCTACAACCAAAAAGATCGTAAAGCTTTAAATGGCGTTCTATGGTTACGTCATTCGTGGAGCAGAGGTTAGTTTCAATTCTGGGAAATATAGGTCAAACAAAGTGACAAAGTAAAGATGCACCAGGGCGCATCCGGGCATCTGATCTAACGTAATGATCCAGTGATACATCCACTTCACCCATACCAACACCAGAGCACATACACACGACACTGCCAGTGATATCTTCCGCATATCTCATCCACTATACTGACAGTGATAAAACCTGCATATCTCATCGAGTAGACTGACAGTGAAATCACCCACACATCTCATCCACTACATTGACCGTGATATCAACTGCATATATAATCCATTAGACTGACAGTGACATCACCTGCATAATCATCCACTAGACGGACAGTGGAATAAGCTGCATATCTGATCCACTAGACTGACAGTTATATCACCTGCATATCTGATCCACTGGACTGACAGTGATATCACCTGCATATCTAGATCTGATCCACTAGACTGACAGTGATATCACCTGCATATCCGATCCACTGGACTGACAGTGATATCACCTGCATATCCCATCCACTAGACGGACAGTGCTATAAGCTGCATATCTGATCCACTAGACTGACAGTGATATCACCTGCATATCTGATCCACTAGACTGACAGTGATATCACCTGCATATCTGATCCACTAGACTGACAGTGCTATCACCAGCATATCCCATCCACTAGACTGACATTGCTATCACCAGCATGTCTGATCCACTAGACTGACAGTGATATCACATGCATAATCATCCACTAGACTGACAGTGTTATAACCTGCATATCTGATCCACTAGACTGACAGTGATATCACCTTCATATCTGATCCACTAGACTGACAGTGCTATCACCTCCAAATCTGATCCACTAGACTGACAGTGATATCACATGCATAATCATCCACTAGACGGACAGTGTTTTAACCTGCATATCTGATCCACTAGACTGACAGAGATATCACCTGCATATCTCATCCAGTAGACTGACAGAGATATCGCCGGGATAGCGCAGTGCACTGACAGAGGTACACCCGGATATGCAATTCAAAGCATGCAATATCACCAGGATACGTCACTGCTTTAAGTACCCCTAATGGAGTTACCAGGTAAATCCAGGTTACGAGAGCAACGGTAAATCAAGATAATTTTTTGTTTAAACTGCACAGCCCGTGACAATCGAAGTGCAGCGGTAAATCAAGATTACTTCTAATGTTTCAACCAAACACACCAATACAACACTATTCTCTTCGTGGATAGAGCGTCTGTCCCGGAGAGCTGTCGGCTGTTCGATCCCAGGCTGCGTCACACCAAAATACATTAAAGGATGGGACTTATTGTTACCCTGCCTTGCGCTCGGCATTGAGGAGATAAAACAAGGACTGGCCGGCTCGGAGTCAGTATACTGTGACTGATTGGGGTATTGATGTTAAACTATGGCATGGTATCTATAAGGACTACCATTATAAAACCGGCATTAATCCTGGCTGGCTGGCTGGCTCTCGCACACACACACACACACACACGCACGCACGCACGCACTCGTCGCTATATACGTTCAATAATCTCAGACGCGACGTTAAACCCGGTGTCACCTCACCATCTCCGCAACATATATACTTACATATTCATAACCATCTCCAGACCCTGGTCTGTGGCCTCCTTTCTTCTTCCTCCGGCCGCTCAAGTCATAATCTGTATAAGATTGTGGTCAAACATTAGCAAGACAAACGGTGTCCTTCAAATGCAGTCGTTCGTTGTTAGAAGAGTGACAATCAAACCAGGTAACACAAAACGTGGGCAACAGTGACAACATAACACATCCAGTAGTTCCTAAAGGTACAACACTATCACGTAACCTCATGGTGTTTAAGAAATTAAGCAATTGCGCCTCTGAGTAAACTGTTTTGAAGAACCATGTGTACGTTATCCGATTTTTAGTGTTTGTACCTTCAGGCATTAAGGTGAACGTATGTGATTGTTAGTTTCACTGTGTATATATTTTCAGATACTTAAAAAATCACATTTAACTTAAATTTAAAGTATGTTTAACTTTTATGTGAAAAAAAACTTTGTTCGCATATTATAGTGAACAAAATAATTAGAAATCATGAATATTTTTGTGAATGTTTTTTTGTGTGAAGACTGAGCAAACATTTTCATACAAATATCCTAAAACATTTCATGATCCCTATCTTTTGTGTTCGGTATGTTTAACATTAAACCGTTTAAAATGATTCATTGGTTTTTTTCAAACGTGCGAAAGTGTATATAAGTAATAAAAATATGACACAATTCTAACCGTTATTATGAATCATGCATGTGGGAAATGCCAGTGCAGGAATAATAATTTAGAGGGGTACGAACCAAGTTCTCCTCTTTGCATTGTAGGAACAAAAATGACTTCGCAACTGTTGTATACTCATTATTCAAATCAGCGATGACCCAAAAATGTCCGACGCGAAATACTGTTTCTTTTGAAATGGTCGCGTTTTGGCTTGCATGATATAAAAATCCATTTTTTGAATCAAAACGTTGGTTTTGCATGAAAGTACATGTGTGTCATCTTTGAAACAAATAATAAAACAATTTGAAATCAGTGTTAATTATGTAACTACTGGATGTATGTTAAAAATGTGTTGTTTATGTGTGTTGCTAGGCAATCGTGTCATGTGATTCACGCAGTACTTACTGTCATCACTTTCGTCATCACCTTCGTTGCCATCACGATTCCTGCGTCCTTTCTTCCTCCTAACGAAAAGAGAAGTTAGTTGCTTTCAGTTCAAAACAGAGTGAGTGAGTGAGTTTGATTTTACGCCGCTTTTAGCAATATTCCAGCAATATCACGGCGGGGGGCACCAGAAAAAGGTTCAAAACAGAACAATTGATAACAACAGGAAATAATTTGTTTACTGAATTTGATACAGTTTTACGATTTTTTTAAGAATTGATAAAAAAATATTTAAAAGGGTAAATTAATATAGTTGAACACAAATATTATCATTCAAATCAATCATTTAAAAAAAGGTCATCTGAAACAAAGAGAACCGAAATCAATCATATCATGCACTATGTTAAACATTTAAAACATGATCGCCATGCTTTTAGGTAGTTATACTACTCAAAAGAAGTTAAAGAACACCCGATTGTTGCATATGACTATATTTAGTAAATCTGTCATGGCGTGACATATTAACTATAGCCACATGGAAACATCGGGTGTTCCTTAACTTCTTCTGAGCAGTATATAAGCTAATGACCTAACAACACTGAAACAAAATACTGACTTAAAGAATTACACACAAGCACACAAATAAGGCCATGAAATAGGCTTGTTAGAATCGTTTTAGTCTTAACATTAAAGTTAGTAGTAAAACAAGTAGCGTCCTAAGTTATACCCCACACCAGTAAACAGTGCTAAAATAGATATGTTCTCCAGCGAATCATCCAGATCTGTGTTTAAACAATAAGTGACTGAATGTTGTTTTACACCGTAGTGAGCAAAATGCCAGCTGTATCCCGCCGATCTGACAATAATCAAAATTCGACCAGGAATACCAGTTGTCAATAGTATGAGCAACGATCCTCGCCAATTGGGTAAGATGACACACTATCGACCAAGTCTCGCGTTGTGACGACGAGATGTAAGTCGACTCTCACGAGAAGCATGTGTGGAACTTGGGGCCTAATATGCCCTTGGATCCCCAGGGAGTCCATCGAAATGAAACATGTTAAGCCATAACGATTGAAGTGTATACAATTACAGAGAACAAGAACAATAAGTTTCAATATGAATTTGAGGTAGTAAAAGTGTTACTTAATCACTACATACGTAACACATCATGTAGCTAAAAGCATATTCAGGAACTCTGTCATAAAACGAAAACCAAACATTTCCTGCAAAGCAAATATCTGAAAACACAATGTCCACGGCAGCAAATGAGGGTCGAACCCTTAGCACAGCACACATATCGGGATAACACACAAGCAGGGTTCGAACCCGTGTCACAGCAACCGCTGGACTCACCCATCTGGACCAAGACCAGAATCTTCACCAACGAGACCATCCTTCCTAGCCCCTTTGGTTTTGGGTTTCTTGTTGCCGAGTTCGTCGTACTCAGACGAGGAGGCGCTGTCGAGGCCAAGGCGACGACGTTCCTCACGTCGCTTATCTTTTTTACGTCTAAGATTGGAGGACAAAGGGACTGAGAAACTCGCTTTCTTACTCATCATTAATTAACACTGTACTTACTCGACCAAGAGACGTGCCTATTTCAAATAAATTCGGCAAACCTATAGACTTGTACACTGGGACAGTATGTAACAATCCGATCACTGGAATATGAACCACTCCGTTTGTAAGACGATCAAGAATCAAAGTCCACTCGCGTTGTTCAATATTCAGACGTGAAAACCAGGCTTGGCTTTAAGGAAAAAATACCCTCTTTAAAGTAACCGTGATATTAAACTTCAACGGCTTCAAGACTGAAATGGGTAGGCACCATATAACATGCAGACGCTCACTCCTGCACAACCGCCAGGCAACGGGGGATTCCATACCTGTTCCTAAAGATAAGAGATTTATGTGTAAAAAGCAGTCCATCAAGATGTCATGCCCGCTTGCGTGACCAGGTAACCATAAGCATACAGGCTTCGGACAAAGTGGGGCAGATATAACTTGACCACGTGATGAGACGCCATTACGGGTGGAGGTGAAGATCAAGGGAGATAACCAATAAGGCATTGGTTACAAATTTATGAAAGTATGGCATGTTATCGATGTCGGTGGATAAAAGGGTTCGTGTTTGGGTCACAGGATCTTACTGGAGGTCGCAAAGAATTGCTGAAGGGAAATTGTAATTGGTTACCATAATTAGAAGATCCCATATCCCACGCATTCCTTCTGAGACAGAACATATCCATTGATGGAAGATAAAGTGTTACGTGATACTGATAAACGCCTCTATGTTGATCACGCCTAATCCATTACACACGTCGCACTGAGAGGGATCTTTCATTCCGTTGATTAAGAAGGGCGCCAAGATTAATGATTTTTTTTTATAGAGACCGTATGGACATTCCATGATATCATTATTGGACAGTGAATAGAATTCCAGTGAAAGTGTGAAATGAACATTTATAAAAAAATAACTAATAGAAAACAATATCAAGTCATGATGAATAGAGGCTAAATATTGTTCAAAGTACCAGGAGAATTACAAGAATGAGTGAGTTGGGTTTAAAACCGCGTTGAACAGTTTTACAGTCATAGCACGGTGCAATATGAGGTGGGAGGAAAGACCAAAGAGATACAACTTTGGTGGAACCCTTGGGCATAGGTATGGTGCTGACAAATAAAGTGAGTGAGTGAGTGGGGTTTAATTCCGCTTTTAACAGTATTCCAGTTAAATCACGGCGTGTCAGCTTAATGTGGGAGGAAGGCCCAAAGTGATCAGGTCTTAGACGTTTACCACTTGGGTGAAACCCACGAGCACGGGTATGGTGCTGACAAACCTAGAAACAATCGGGGTGAACCGGGAATCGAACCAACAATCATAGGTTTCTGTCGCTCCAAAGGGACGCAACTCTGCACAACGAATTGGGGCGCCGTAGACGACTGGGCCACCCGTGCCCCCACTGACAAATAGAAATCACATTCAGGACGAATCTGGGATTCAAACCCACGACTGTGATCATCATCCAGGCTCGCAACTCTGTACAATGAAGTTTGGAGGCTAAGGAGTCGACTGGGCAACTATTGTCGCCTTCATTAACAAAAACGATAAGGACACGCTACAGTGATACTTATACGATACAGTTATCAATGAAGAGTCTAAAAAGCTCCAGGACATTTTACTCAATCATGTTATGGATGACACCATCACCAATATTAGAAGGACGTGATTGTAGTTAGTAGAACTATGACGAAACACCACCATTTCTGAAATCTACACGAGAGATGTTAAATAGCGACCTGTGGCTGCGAAGAACATTATTCAAAACCAGGTTATCCTAGATTCATGCAGGCAGCAATTAGAGAGCACACAATCATGCATGTGGCCAGAAAGACGATAATGAATACAACGAATATGAGTATAGAATCATTTCAATGAACCATCACCTCTGAAAGACAATAGCAGGTCATATGCGGGAAGGGTGTTGTGCGAGGGTTAATTTTAATCCACAGCAAGATTAGTGAAGTCTTGGTTCAATCATGCATATGGCTGTTGATAGATAGTAGGATAAAGCTTATGTTATAGATGGATGTTATTATAATATATATATGAGTTGGGAATTATATATGGGCCAGCATAACACTGCACAACGCATGCTGAAAGCTAACACTGTACGAACTTGTCATGTTCTGCCATCATTTCGTCATATTTGTCGCCATATTTCTCCCTCCTTCTCTTCTCTCGTGCCTCCTTCCTCTTAGCCTTCTCTGCGAAATATTTCTTCTTCTCTTCCTCTGTCATATTTTCCAAATCAACGTCGTCATCGTCGCTAGATTCGTCGCTGAAGACCGGTTTTCTCCACTCTTTCTTCAGTCTGATAGACAGAGTCGAATGAGTGATGGTGTGTGTGTAAGACACTTCGATTGTGCCCAACAAGATATATCTATCTACATACAGCAGTACAAGAAGGTAAGAAGTATTGAAGAAATGATATTCAATGTTCACCCCCTCACCACAATACATCGATACCAACAGTTAGACAGTAACAAAATGAAAATAGTTTCTGTTAAACCTATACCCCATTTGTGCAGCGATATTATGCAAATATCTTTAGAACATAGCAATTATATTAACAATGTTTAAGGGATGTTAATACAAAGGGAAAGAAAGGATAGTGTAGACGTTTCTGGCAATAGTTTACTAAAATTTAGAATGTCAATTGTGCAAAATATTTCCGAAAAGAGGATTCAATAAAAAGTAGGACAGCGTGCATGAGGAAGGAATATATCAGTTTGTATCACAAAGATTGTGAATAAAGACAAGATAACACGACAAACTTCATAGAGTGTTAGAATGTCTTGTCAAACCAGAGTTTAGCATGAAACAAGGACTTAAGTTGTTGTGTCAAAAGCCCCTTTGCAAACAGTGTCAGAACATCCAACCGTGACACGGACGGAACAGAGTGTATGCAATATGGAAAGAAGTTTGTTAGAAGTAGCAGAGGAAAAGGTGCAAGTTGGAGAAAACTGTGTGTAGCAGCACCCGAGGCATGTTATGTCAAAAATATATCAAACATTCCATGCAGGCTGATATGTGGCTTTACGAACTTTTCATGTTTGGCGACCATTTCGTCATATTTGTCGCCATATTTCTCCCTCCTTCTCTTCTCTCGTGCCTCCTTCCTCTTAGCCTTCTCTGCGAAATATTTCTTCTTCTCTTCCTCTGTCATATTCTCCAAATCAACGTCATCATCGTCGCTTGATTCGTCGCTGAAGACGCCGGTGTAGTTCCGGCCCTTCTTCGTGCCCTTTTTCCCAGCCTTCCCACCTTTACCAGCTTTTCCTGGTTTCTGCTTCTTCACTCGGACCTTCCCACCTTTCCCATCCGACACCGTGGTGTACACACTGGGGGATTGTCATACACAGGTCATCGCTAGACATTGTCATATGGCTGAATACAATTGAAGGTTAGTATGTCCGCTTCGTAAAAAATGGCTGGTTATAATTGAAGGTTCGTACACCAGGTACGCTAAAGTGCCTAGATAAAATTTAAGGTTAGTATGTCATTTACGTCAAAATGGCCTCATATCATTGAAGGTTCGTATGTCAGCTACGTAAAAATGACAAGATATAGTTGAAGGTTCGTATGTCCGCTACGTAAAACTGGCAAGGTAGTATTGAAGGTTCGTGAGTCAGATAGGTAAAAATGGCAAGATATAATTAAAGGTGCGTATGTCAGCTACGTAAAAATGGCTAGATATAATTTAATGTTCCTATGTCAGCTACATAAAGATACGTATTAAAATACTGTAGTCGTGGTTATATAACAGGTTTGGTTGTAAAAAATGACATTCTTTCTTAAATTAAGAAATTATAATATAGGTTATGTACAATAAAATGCATTGAATGGACATCTTTGCATGATGTTGATATACCCTCTGTCGATGATAGTACCATTGTAAGTTGACTGATAACATTCTAAATTTAAAACTAAAACCGATTTAACGTTGTTATAAAAGCTGAGGAGCAAAAGAAACTATACCTCATATGTTTGATTTTCAATTGAAAATATCTCAAGTTAGGGAAATTATATCCAAAACATGAACTGTACTGGCGCATAGTCAGCACTCAAAGAAAACATGGTTTTATTTTTAAAAATATATCCAGATTAAAAACTTTTGAAAATTCAGAAAAATGGCATAATACACAACTGTTGATGGTTATCTTAAACATCTTGTCTTTGAAAATCAATAAATTTGCTTTCTTCGGCATAAATGTACATTTCAAACAGGAGAGAGGCCACGTGTATCAAAATTCATTTCTTACCCCGGTATTCATTAAACCAACTTATCTTTACACAAAGTAACCTAGCCTCGGATGTATAACTTTTACCAACTGTTGTAGGAATTATTGATTATTAAATGGACAAAATCAAATGTAGCAGCTGCTCTTTCAATTTTCAATTACATAAAAAACACAGGCGGAATGCTTTGTTTTCCTCCTCAGTTTTTAGGTAAATAAATAGTTATCTACTGTAAACCATATTGTTAGAAACCGTTACATCTAACAAATTAATCCTCACTTACATTACAAATGTAAGTATCATGAGTTAGTGATAAAATTAAAGAAATATCTTATAAAACTAAAACACGGAGTGTAATTTCCAACACCTAAATATAAACTAAATTCGTATTTTAAATCCTACCTTTCATCGTCGGAATTTTCTGAAAAAGTGTAAATGTCAATAAATGAAAAAAACCATGACATACATGTACATTGCATATTCGACATTGGAACTACAATTTAAATATTATTTCGTGTCAGAATATAGTTTAATATAGAATCGTTACTAAGAAATATGTAATATGTTTAACAACAACATAAAACACAACGATAGTCGATATATTTCTGGAAAAGTTGATGGTTTAAGAACATTCAAACAAACTTATGTTCAAAAGAAAGTATACCAACTCAAATGTTTTCCACTATTTAGTCCACTACTTTTAAGTTTATTAATTAAAATTTAAATATGTCGCACGAATGCAACCAAATGTCTTCGATGACAAAAAGCAGGAAACTTTGACAATGTTTGAGAAAACGACTTTGGGCAATGCACGTGCAAAAGTGCTGTATATAACTTGCGACACGGCACGATAGGAACACAACAACCCACAGCACCAAGTAAATATGCCATGTTTTACCGCTATACAGAGGGAGAGAGCCGTTGGTTTGGCGCAACAAGAAGCCACGTCCGCTGCCACTGCAAGAACGTTTCGATGCAAAAGCACCAAGTAACCATTACCAGATTGATGCAACACTTGCAACAGACAGGACGGACATCAGACAGGCGTAGAAACGAGTGATCACGGATGACCATGTCCATTGAAAACCGCCACATCCGGACCATTCATCTCCGAAATCGCTGTGTTACAGAGACGGCAACGGCAGCGACGGCACTGGGACACAGGGTGTGTCGACAGACAGTGTATTGGCGATAAAGAGAACGTGGTGTCAGAGCACGTCGATCCTACCGTGGAGTGACGTTAACACGTCAACAACGACGTCACAGGTCGACATGGGCCAGGCAGGTTCGACGTTGGCAAGTGCGAGACTGGGGACGCGTCATGTCCTCCGATAAGAGTTGATATTGCTTATACAGAAATGATGATCGGCAGCGAGTATACAGACGAGTTGGTGAACGTTTAACGCCAAATTGGGTCAACAAGTTCAGCTATCGGAAGGCGGTAGCGTCATGGGCGCCGTGCCACAAACCGAACGTAGAGCTATGACTGTCGTAAGCTAATGTTAAAGTATGGGAGTTACGATCACCTTAGCGCTACGATCGCTTTGTGGACCGGAGCCCTGTTCCGGGGATGTATCTGCGGTGATGTCAAAACGAGGCGCGTCAATATTCAGGGAAACCCGAATGCCCAGAGAAGTTTTGAGACTCGTTCTGGAACCATCCATTCAACCACAGCCACGTGGAATTGTCTTCCGGCAAGACAATGCCAGACCGCATACAGCAAGACTCGTCGTTTTTTTTCATTAACGTTTTAACCCTGGCCTGGCATACCCTCTTGATATGAGTGAGTGAGTGAGTTGGGTTTAACGCCGCTTTTAACAGTATTCCAGTTATATCATGGCGTGTCAGCTTAATGTGTGAGGAAAGCCTGAAGTGATGTGGCTGACAACTCTAGAAACATAATCGGGGCGAACAGAGATTCGAACCCACAACCATAGGTTTCTGGCGTGCCCAAGGAACGCAATTCTGTGTCTCAGTCAGTTGTAAAGCGTTAGTTTCGAAAACATGAGCCGTTTTACACATTATGTTAAACACAACTCTAATGAAATAGATATTCACTTCCTACATACTATTGTTTTTCTCTCATACTTTAGTCTTTTAAACTGTTGGTATACTTTCTTTTAGACATAAGTAACCAAAAAAACAATTATGAATTAATGCTTCACAGTTTTCTTGGAAATTTTGTTAGTCTTGATATCACATATGCAATAAAATGTTTTTTACGTCGCGTCCAAGATTATTGCACTTATATAGCTTTCATAGACCTATGTTGGTTATACAGAGCTCAGACACATCATACTCCGAGCCGACAAGTCCTTGTTTTATTCCCTAATGGCGAAAGGCAGAGTAACAACAAGTGCCATCTTTTAACGTCTTTTGGTATGACGCGGCCAGGGAATCGAACCCTTGACCTTCAGCTCTCCAGACAGATGCTCCATCCACTTCATCAGGGAGGCGGTCTGCAATAATATAGATTCACAACACCATCCAGATAAAATACTACGTACCAGGACTGGTGTAGTCCTCAACGTTGCCATGGCCGATGACGTTTCCATGCTTGTCTCGGATTCTCTGTCTCCTCTTCCTATGATGCGTGCCGCCGGCACTAACGTCGCTGTAGTAGCTGTGGTCGCTGTCGCTGCCATGTTCACGCCGTTCCTTCTTCTTTTTCTTCCGGTTCTTCGCTCTTCCTCCTCCGGGTTTATCACTGTCAGAACTGTGGTAGGACTCACTAGCGCTGTACGTCCCGTCGGCGCGTTTTCGACGTCGTTTGACGTGACGTGTACCCCCAGCACTGACCACACTGCAGTAACTGTGAGCGCTGTCTGAACCGTGTTTCCTCTCTCGTCGTCGACGTCGTCGCCGAGCTTGGCCATCTTCATCCTGGCTGCTGTGGTACGATTCAGCTGTAGGACAGGTAAGGTTCTCGTTAAGATGACATAACGTTACATTTGACGTTTTTATTTACGTTTTGTGTTTACGTCTTTCAATAGAACATGTTTACTGAGCAATATTCCAGCTATATGAAGGCGCCGTGTAAATGGTCGAGTGTGAATCAGACAAACCAGTGATTGAGATTACGAGCAACGTCCGAAGCTGCTGGAGTTCGATGTCGTGTAATCAACAAATATGTCACCGAGCCTGACCAATCGATCCATTTGACCTCCTCGTACAACCACAAGCACCAGGGACCTATTCTATTGCATCATCGAAGAGATATGACAACACAGACATTCACAGTGCAGTCCATTGCAAGGGGAACGCGGGTTCTTGTGAAAGAGATTATTATATGTATGAGTTGTGTTTAACGCCGCTTCTGACATAATTTCAGTTATTCACGACGTATCAGATTAGTGTGGGATACAGTTCCAACATAATTACAGTTATTTCACGACGTATCAGATTAGTGTGGGAGGCAGGTCCAACATAATTACAGTTACTTCACGGCATATCAGATTAGTGTGGGAGGCAGTTCCAACATAATTACAGTTACTTCACGGCGTATCAGATTAGTGTGGGAGGCAGTTATAACATAAGTACAATTACCTCACGACGTATCGGTTAGTGTGGGAGGCAGTTCCAACATAATTACAGTTATTTCACGACGTATCAGATTAGTGTGGGATACAGTTCCAACATAATTACAGTTATTTCACGACGTATCAGATTAGTGTGGGAGGCAGGTCCAACATAATTACAGTTACTTCACGGCATATCAGATTAGTGTGAGAGGCAGGTCCAACATAATTACAGTTACTTCACGACATATCAGATTAGTGTGGGAGGCAGGTCCAACATAATTACAGTTATTTCACGACGTATCATATTAGTGTGGGATACAGGTCCAACATAATTACAGTTATTTCACGACGTTTCAGATTAGTGTGGGATACAGGTCCAACATAATTACAGTTACTTCACGACGTATCAGATTAGTGTGGGGTACAGGTCCAACATAATTACAGTTATTTCACGACTTATCAGATTAGTGTGGGAGGCAGTTCCAACATAATTACAGTTATTTCACGACTTATCAGATTAGTGTGGGAAGCAGTTCCAACATAATTTCAGTTATTTCACGACGTATCAGATTAGTGTGGGAGGCAGGTGCAACATAATTACAGTTATTTCACGACGTATCAGATTAGTGTGGGATACAGGTCCAAAGTGGCAAAGTCCAGCTTGTAGATTAGTACCATTCTTGTGAGATACATGTATGGATCATAAATAAATAATCATAATCGAGGCGAGACTTTGATTTGAAGCAGCAATCAGTGGAACCTGGCACTGCCAAGGGACGCAACTCTGCATAACGAATTGTGCTTTACATGAAAAGGAAACACCCAAATAGCGTATTTCACCAAGAATAATTTCGATAACTTTATCTTTTTGGCTGATTTGTCAACGTTTCGTTTCATCACACAACCTTCACCTTGACCGGATGGCCTGCGATGAACTCATCCATTTTAGTTCTCTGGTCGTGGAAATGAGATGTTCGAACCAAAGGCCCAGGAATGTCACTTTTACTCACCATCGCTGTAGGTGCCATCCGCCCTTTTCCGTCGTCGTCTGACGTGACGTGTGCCGCCGGCGCTACGGTGACTTTTGTAACTGTAGTCGCTGTCGCTATCAGCGTCCCTCTTCCCCTGTTTCCGTCTGTGTCGTTCCTGCGGCGTCTCCTCTTCATCAATCCCCCCTCCCTTACCGCCCCGTCGCTTCCCCCCTTTACCCCGAGACATGGATGCGATGCCGCTGTCGACGTCTGATTCCTGTTGACCAATTTTTCTGAAAGACACAAAATCATTACACGTTCATCCACGTGGGAGTTATCCGCGACGTCGGTCTTTGCATCTACCAACGTAAAAAACCCTTAGGCATTCCGGGCTAGGTTAGGTCCTCAGCAACCTGTGCTTGTCGCTCGAGTCGGCTATAGAGATCGGTTGTCAGGATCAATAACGTTGTTCCTGATATCAACCATTGGTTTGTCTGGTACAAATTTAAATAATTACAAGCCGCCTTTATACAGCTGGAATAATGCTGAGTTGGCTTCAAACAACAAACCAACAAATATCAACGTAATACAGTAAACTACTGTTATGACGAACTCAAATGGACCACTAATTTTAGTTCGTTATAACCGTAGTTCGTTATAAGCCTATATACAACATCTATACAGCAAATGACCGGGACCAAAAATTAACTTCGTTATATCCGTCAGTTCGTTATAAGCGTGTTCGTTATAAACGTATTTTACTGTAATGATAAATTATAATCTAGTTTTGGTATGTTATGTCCGAAATTCATTCTTCGAAGTGCGGTGAGGTGGCATGGTGGGTAAAGTTTTCGCTCGACCGTCAAATACCCGGTTCGATTCCCATCGTGGATGCAATGTGTAAAAATTACAATTTATGTCTACTTCATTTTTAAGAAACTGTCGTCAGCGACTTTCGCATCAATAACATGTTCGTGCTAAACGCGGGATATTGCGTTTAAAATGTGTCCTAAGCATCAGTTCATTATTCGTATTATCAGTATCGTTGACACCGACCTCGTTATAACCGTAGTTGACTGTTTAGAACAGACTGGAGGACATCAAGAGTTATGACTTTTGAACTTTTTCCGAAAGAGCATGTGCTCATTAACTCGGTTCATAGCTACTGAACTTTTCGAAGTTCAGCAGATGCCTAAAGGACGGCAAATGCACAGAGACAAATGCGCATGGGGAGAAAAAGACAAGCTACTTCCCTTTTTCAAATATCCCTCAGAAAAGAACTACACTGAGGATTTATCTATGAGACGGAAAATATAAATTCAGACGGACGAATGGTTGGAAATTAAAAACTATATTTTTTTTTAGCGGGACGGTAATTTAGGACCGACGGGAGATTAGAAAGTCACAAAAAACAACACCTAATCAGCGTGTTTGATATCATTCACGTCGGAGATGACAAAGTACCTACTTCCTGTACTTCTTCCCCGTAACGGGGTCGACGACGACCTCATAGACGGCGCCATCTTTACCGACTATGCGGGTTCCGGGTTTTGCTGAAAATAACATCATTAACAATGTTCTTAATTATACAAATATAACATGTCAGTGATGTTTCATCGGAGCAGCATTCCATACATCTAACAACGACTGATTTCAATACTTTGGCGATAATCCACCAAATCAAACAGTTTGTTTATCAAGGATCAATTGTTAAAGATTCCAATACAAGCCAGTGAAACCTACGAAATTAAACTGTTTGCCAAACAACGACTGATGGTAAAAGATTCAACCACACACCAAATCAAAGAGTTGTTTTAACAACGACTGGTGGTCAAAGTCCTAGACTGGGATTTAGTCCCAGAAATAAGTTTCTTACTAAAAAATATATATCTACAATACATAACAAATATAATCCAAATGAAGCCCAGAACTAGGCTTAACTTCTTATAGAGCTGAGGCAATCTAGACTTGCCAAATCATTCTAGATTTGTTTTATAAATATTTTTATTTATTATGTAGGGTCTTGGAGACAGACTAGTCAAAGTCCCTACCAGCCTGGACTTCAGGGTCATCCGTTGCCGAGTACACAGTGGATGCCTTCTCCCAGTCTTCGATGATCTCCCCCTTCTCTAACTTGATGAACTTCTTGAGGAACTCTGGGTCTCCCCCGGACTCCTGGAACGCCCGGAACTCATCCTCTGTCAGGAGGACCTGCTTCTCAATCAGCCGACCGCTCTTCGTCCTGATGTACGTCTTCACCACCTTACAAATAACATGTACACACTATAATATGAGGCCTGACCATGTTCTAGTACGCCGCAAATGATTGCTACATACGTTTTATGTCGATTCAATTGTCTTTTGTATGATTTATTTCAGTAGACTTTAAATGCTATTACTATTACATATCCACAAAAAGGATCAAGCATCATCATCATCATAATTAGCAGCAGCAGCAGCATCAGTAGTAGTAGTAGTGGTAATATTTGTATTATTCTTATTTCTATTGTGCTTAATACTTTATGACACACAAAAAAAAAAAATCAGGGACGGGTCGGGGGGTCCTGGCAAAGTCAGACCGGTTGGGCTCACCAGAGACCATATGATAGATATTTTTCTATTATATTGTCTCTGGGCTCACCACCAGAAACCCAGGTTATCTCCCATTGTCAACCAACAGGAGTCGGACAACTTGGTACTTGGGATGCAAGCGTGAATTATTATTATTATTATTATTATTATTATTATTATTATTATTATTAAATGCATGTTTTTATTTTTGTTGATAAAGAAAGCCTTACCTTCATGGGCTGCCCGTCAGGGGCCTTCTCCCACGACTCTATAGTGTCTCCGTCATTGGGATTGAGGTACTTCTTCAAAATGTCGGCCGGATCTCCGCCTCCCTTCATCATCTTCTCGTAGTCATCGGCGCTCACGTAGATGGTCTTCTCAATGATACGACCACTCTTGGTCCGCACCTTTGTCTTAATAGCTTTCATGGGCTCCGCGCTCTGCCAGGACTCCAGCGTCTGTCCCTCCTCCAGTGGAAGATACTGCTTAATGATCTCACTAGGATCCTTCCCATCCCTTATCATAGCGTCATAATCGTCCTGTGATATCATAATCACCTTCTCAATCAACCTACCACTCTTTGTCCTCACATACGTCTTGATTGTCTTCATCTTGGCTTCTCCCCATCCTTCAATCTGCTCGCCGTCCTCTGTCTTCACGTACTTCTTGAGGACATTCTTGGCGTCTACCCTCCCTGCCTTGATGTCCTCGTAGTCCTGCTTCGACACGTACACAAGCTTTTCTATTAGACGTCCACTCTTGGTTCTCACTAATGTCTTTATGGCCTTCACCTCATCCTTGTCCCAAGACTCCAGTCCTGCAGCCTCATCTTTGTTGAGGTATCGCTTGAGGATGTCCTGTACATTCTTGCCCTGTTTGAAAGCCTCGTAGTCCTCCTCGTTCAGGAACACGATGCGCTCGACCAACCGTCCACTCTTTGTGCGGATGTATGTCTTGATCGCCTTCACATCTAAGAGAAGGAAACAAGACTTATTCATTTGCTTTCCTGTTGGGGAGCCCGGGTCATATGTTTCATCACCCATGTATGTCGTAAGAGCAAACTTACTGAGGATAAGGTAACCACAATGTGACAAGTGGCTGATCGTGTGCCATCGTACCCCGACGGGGAATAAATTAAGTTACTGAGGCTATTACTAACTGGTTGGTTTGTCAAGACTTTACTATGTTCAGACCCTTGCGACGTAACTGGAATATTGCTGACTGCAGTGTAAAACAAGGAATGAAGATATTTTTCTCAGCACTTACTGCTTTCTTTGATGGCCTCAAGTCGTTGTTGTCTCAGCATCTCACGCTGTCTCTGAAATATAAGTAAAATTATGTTTGGGTAGTTAAATAAATTAACATGTTGGTGTGGACAGGACAATGGAATATTTGTTATGTCATGTTTCTTGGCATTTTCACAAAGCAGAGGAGCTTCCTTTAGGCGTGTCAGAAACATTTGATTGTGGGTTCGAGTCCCAAATTCGCCCTCTTCATGGTTTGTAAGCACCAGTGCTCGCGGGTTTTACCAAAGCGGTAAACGTGTAAGAATTTAGCATGGCTTTGATCTGTCCCCCACAACAAACAGACACACCGTGATATTCAAGCGGTGTCAAACCAAACTCATTCACTCACTTAACGAAGTCGCTGGAAACCTGTACTAGAATAGTGGTTTTCAATGATTTGTTTGTTTGTTGCTTAACGCCGCACTCAGCATTATTCCAGCTATGACGGCGGTCTGTAAATAATCGAGTCTGGACCAGACAATCCAGTGATTGAGATCATGAGCATCGATCCATGCAATTTTGATACGATGACATGCATCAACCAAGTCAGCGAGCCTGACCACCCGATCCCGTTAGTCGCCTCTTACGACAAGCATAGTCGCCTTTTACGGCAAGCATCGGTTGCTGAAAACCTATTCTAACACGGATCTCCAAGGTTTTCAATGAGTATGCACGAATGCATAGACGTGCTGGGGATTTATATTATTAAGATGGGTTCTACTGTAATTGTGTCCATGAAAATATATGCAACTGCATATTACCATATCTTTTCTTGTTTGGGGCAGTCACGTATTTCTGCGAAAGGGTTATGGTGACTTCACTGATCTTGATGAGATTGGATACTCGTCATGTCTTTTCGGAATAAGTTTCCCCCGATCTATAGCTAGATTCCTCAATCTTTAATCACGTCCTTCCAACTCGCCACAGACTACAGTTCCTGATAGTAATGCTACTATTGATTTACAAAACGTAACTGGAAGCCAGGCCAATGTATTGAAACTAAGCCTGCTGTAGCTATTAACTCTTTGAGGGGACTTCAAGCTTTGAGTGCACGAGGCTGTTGTACAACATATGAGGTTTGTGTAATTATATGGGAGTTCAGGGATGATCCGCACATATAGAACGTCCACAACACTATGGTGTGTTGTAGTGGGGGTAGATGGGACAGTAACGGACATGATGCTGATGCGGATGCTGGTAGTGATGATTGTGATGGTGATGATCATGGTGGTGATGGTGGTAGTGTTGATGATGATGATGATGATGATGGTGATGGTGTTAGAGTTGTTGATGATGATGATGATGGTGATGATGATGGTGGTTATGGTGGTAGTGATGGTGATGATGATGATGGTGATGATGATGGTGGTGATGGTGGTGGTGATGGTGGTAGTTTTGTTGTTGTTGATGATGATGATGATGGTGGTGGTTATGGTGGTAGTGATGGTGATGATGATGATGGTGATGATGATGGTGGTGATGGTGGTAGTGTTGATGATGATGGTGATGTGATGATGGTGGTAGTGTTGTTGATGATGATGATGGTGGTGGTTATGGTGGTAGTGATGATGATGATGATGATGATGATGGTGGTAGTCATGATGATGATGGTGATGATGATGATAGTGGAGATGGTGGTGATGGTGATGGTCATGATGATGGTGGTGATGATGGTAATGATGATGGTGATGATAATGGTGATGATTTTACCTGCATCTCCAGTTCTTCCAGGAGGCATTTGATATACCAGTAACCATGACGATATCCTCCGCCTACCCTGATGTACTTGTGCTGCAACATCAGAAGCCTTTTGAGAAACTGTATTTTTACTTATTTTTATTTTACTTATTAAACTATTATAAATGAAATGAATAAAAGGACAGGTCTTGAAAAAGTCGAACATTTCGATTTATATTTACTTGGTGTAGTATTCTCTAAACAAAGAATGAATTTGTTTTATCTCAGCTAAGTCTTCTGACTACAATATCGTCTTACAATCCTAGTCTATGCCATGTTAAATCGTAATTGCTTAAGCACCCCTTAAACGCCACCCATTTCTTTTATACCGGTGTATAAATATTGCCAAAATTACGTCAACTCTTTAAAAAATATCGTTGGTAGAGCTCTCATTTAATGCTTGCACTTTGCCTGAACAAACAAATGTTTCACACTTTTTTATGTTTGAAAAAATGTCACATAATAGATTGTTTTTGAAGTCGTAAACGAATTCCAGAAATTACAGACATAAAGTCGAAAATGTCCAATTTGGCATGAAAAGAGGAAAGCAAAATTTGTTGACCAAGATTTAAGTTTGTCATTACCTGGCATTCCATTTAAATTTGATTTTCATTATCAAATACTTCAAACTGAGAAAATTGATTCTGTAATTTCCAAGGCACACATGAACTCTGAAATACTCAATATTACACGAACAGAGTGTTAGCAACTCTCCGTGCTCTTCTAGAAATATTGACATTAAACGTAAGCCAGTATTTACAAACTGATGAAAGAGTCGGAAGTCGATAGAACGCCGTCATCCCTCGTTGACCAAGAGAAAGCATTAACGAGACTAGAATGCCACACATTGCACAAGAGAATATTTAGAAACAAAAAAGAAAAAACAAGTGTTGCCTTCAACATAACACTACCATTAGACAATACGGTATTCTCAAGGTCGTGTTAATTCTGTTCAAATACACGGTGTCTTTGAAGTGTTTTCTCCATGCTGCAGACAGAAAGTCCAAGAGGCACAAGCTCCAATTTGTTAACCTCTTCAACAACAACAATTAGAAGCGCCATGTCTTCGAATTTACTTTGGAGGTCAGCAGAATGCAAATTTTGTCATACTTGAAACTACTTCAATTTCCCCTCATTCATGTCTGTGTACCTAATCCTAAAATATTCTCTGGATTAATTTGGTTAAAGAAACGGAATCCGTTTGTTTTGGAATAAATTCAACGATTTTTTCTGTTAGGTCGACACTGAATTCATGAGCTGTGGCATTTGACAATCCTTAAAGATTGTAATTGCTAGTCATTCGTCCTTTGAGAAGTAAATTCAATAACATACCGATTCGCATTTCTTGTGTGGGACTCTAAGTAGGCATTTCAGGCACTCTTCAGATGTGCTCTGAAACAAAGGATATCATTGACATTGATACACACATGTTAACTAAATTGCCTGGACTAAGAAACAAATTTGAGATTTAGTTCCGTGACACAGGAACAAGGTTCCTCTCTTCAGCTAAAGAAGTTAATTTCCTATTTTTATCTCAATTACCGTTTGTTCGAATAGAGGAAACGGTAAATAGAGATCGATTTTCTCGAGCGTACTTGTACTCTAAGATTACAGTGAATTGGATAAGAATATGTTGTTTGAATTTAATGTATCTTAGCGTTTAAAAACTCGATTTCATATTACCCTAACAATGTTTGCTGGTATGTTATACATCAAAAATAATTACATTGTGTAACCTTTTTCGTGCGCGTTCATTAATATATCACATATTTTATGGGCGAGAGTTGTTTATCTTCTTTGGGGTTACTTCCCTTACCTGAGGTAAATATGGAGAATTGGCACTGACTACTGAACCGGAGCGAGGGGTCTGTCGATACTTCGCGGAATATCGGGCACTCACATCTGATGATTGTCGACTCTGAAAAAAATTGAAATACTTAACTTAAAATAGACCTTTGGACTTACACACTGCTTGAATGTCAAAATCAACAGTTTCCCAAAAGGAACACGAAGCTCTTCATTGTTAATATCTGGGATCTACTTGTAACCACCAGGCAGTAAATATCTGGGAACTACTTGTAACCACTAGGCAGTAAATATCAAGGAACTACTTGTAACCACCAGGTAGTAAATATCTGAGAGTACTTGTAACCAACAGGCAGTAAATATCTGGGAACTACTTGTTACCATCAGGCAGTAAATATCTGGGATCTACTTGTAACCAACAGGCAGTAAATATCAAGGAACTACTTGTAACCACCAGGTAGTAAATATCTGAGAGTACTTGTAACCACCAGGCAGTAAATATCTTGGATCTACTTGTAACCATCAGGCAGTAAATATCTGGGATCTACTTGTAACCAACAGGCAGTACATATCTGGGATCTACTTGTAACCACCGGGCAGTAAATATCTGGGAGCTGCGTGTAACCACCAGGCAGTAAATATCTTGGATCTACTTGTAACCACCAGGCAGTAAATATCTGGGAACTACTTGTAACCACCAGGCAGTAAATATCTGGGAACTACTTGTAACCACCAGGCAGTAAATATCTGGGATCTACTTGTAACCATCAGGCAGTAAATATCTGGGATCTACTTGTAACCACCAGGCAGTAAATATCTAGGAACTACTTGTAACCACCAGGAACTAAATATCTGGGATCTACTTGTTACCACCATGCAGTAAATATCTGGGAGCTGCTTGTAACCTGCAGGCAGTAAATATCTAGGATCTACTTGTAACCACCAGGCAGTAAATATCTGGGAACTACTTGTAACCACCAGGCAGTAAATATCTGGGAGCTACTTGTAACCACCATGCAGTAAATATTAAGGAACTTCTTGTAACCAACAGGCAGTAAATATCTGGGAACTGCTTGTAACCACCAGGCAGTAAATATCTGGGAACTACTTGTAACCACCAGGCAGTAAATATCTGGGAACTACTTGTAACCACCAGCCAGTAAATATATGGGAACTACTTGTAACGACCAGGCAGTAAATATCTGGGAACTACTTGTAACCACCAGGCAGTAAATATTTGGGAACTACTTGTTACGACCAGGCACTAGATATCTGGGATCTACTTGTAACCACCAGGCACTAGATATCTGAGAACTACTTGTAACCACCAGGCAATGTCTTAGCACCTTGCCGACAGGTTTACGTTACCTGACTTGAACTTTTACAACGAGTGAGTAGTTAAATCGGACTCTGTGTCGCTTGAACAGTATTTCAATTATATATATCACGGTATGTAGAAGGAAATCTCGAAGTGATGCACATCTTAGACATTTACCGCTTGAACCCCGGATATGGTGCTGACGAATCAGAGATTCGAACCCACGATTCTTGCACGCACAGGGAACACAATTCTGAATACCGAATTCCTTAGACGACGGAGCCAGGTAAATCAGGGAAGATATAAAACACTCACATAAACTGCCGGGCAAAAGAAAGTATACACTTGAACACTGTATTTGACCAAAACATTACAAACGTTATTCAAAGCTGGAAACAGTCGCCGAAACACTGCAAACCTGAGACCAAAACACAACTATGATACACGTATTAAATAAATCAACATCGAATAACTCTTGTTTCTTTCATTTTAGCCACCATAAAAATGAGGGCTTACTTTCTTTTTTGCACGGCAGTTGATATTTGCTGGTTTGATAGATCTTAATTATACGTAAGCAGAGTTTCATAAAGATCTAGAATCTCGTGCAAATAGTACGACATGGTCTGTATTCACTCCACACTGATTGCTTTTATTCATTCACAATCTGGAAGCAAATCTATAACCTATCACCCGATATAGAGCCTAATCTTCGATCGCACCAACATGGGCGTCAAATCGCATACCTAACCACCAGCCGTACAGTTCCATCTACACTTGACCTCTAAATGACAAAGATTATGCATGTTCTTGATTTGTCTGCTGGGTAATAGTACACGAGTAGATGACCAGTATAGCGTCATATATCCTTCCTAACCGGGGGTCCATTGTGTGCGGTCTCCTACCGCGAAATGGGGTGTACACGAGAACAATGATAGGAGCGATAACACACGTTTCCCTTGATTGGGTTACTAAGAATCTACACCCACTGAGTCTGTCACAACGTTGTAGCGGCATAGGTTATGAGTTGTATAGTAGACGCTTAGTCCCTGAAAATATATAAGTTTGATTTGAAGAAGCAACTGGATTTAAATTGAAAAGGAGCCCGAGTGAGATGGGATGTTCAGACTAACGCTTAGTCTCTGGAAATATATAATTTTGATAGAAACAAGCATCTATATTTAAACTGAAAAGGAGCCCCAGTGAGGCGGGAGACCTGTGGAAAATCTAGACTTGCTTCATTTGGGGCTATAGCATTCCATAAGGGGAGGTCGGAAGGGAAAATAATATGGTTTACGGACTGTGCGACAGACTAGTTGCACAATAGGTGTTTAACTCCATCGTATATTGCCATTTTTAGGCCAGGTCGAGACGTTATAATTAGAAATTATTGTAAACGTTAACGGATAGGTTAATATTCATCATTTGAGTTGACAAAGTCGTGTTTGAATAACTTGAATCAATTGTTGGAATGTGCGTGTGTGCGTATGCGTTTGTATGCTGGTGCGTATATGCGTGCGTGTGCGTGCGTATGAATGCGTATATATGTGTGTACGCGTGTAGAAATTTTAATTTCTTAGTGAATAAACTAATAAAAAACCAACTTGAGTTTACTTAAAATTAATTTAAACTATTGAGAAAAAATAAATATGGAAAGGAATAAGGATAGGGTATGACTATAATGAGTGAGTGAGTGAGTGTACATCAGCAATGTCCAGTATACGTTATGTATCGATCCGCATGTACCCAATGAATAGCAACTTATTCGACAACATTACAAACACACAGCTCCCCCAATGACGTAATTTATTGATATCCATATTTTTTTCTGAAACATAAAAAATATTAATCACCATTTTTACATTTAACTCCTTGTTTAACCATCATTATATGATCCATTATTAAACATACATGCAAAACAGAACAATAGGTTTCTATTTTAATCAGTAAACACATTATCTCGGCCGTGTAGACCTGCTCTTGTACACTGTCAGCTTGTGACTGATTGCGAAGTAAATCAAAGGGATACTGGCGTCAAGCCCGTGTTGAAACTTTCTGCATTTCCCGTCTAATAATGGGTAATAAATAGCAACACCCACTCTATACTCACATAACTGATTACCTGTCGTAAATCCATGTTGTAAGCCTAGGGGACTACTGTTTCCATGTTCTTTGTTAATCAATCTAAGCCCAAGGAAAGGATTTTTAACAATGAATCACAATACTTCCTGTTTTACACGTTTTCCAAGGCTAACATATAGTTACCGAAATAAAGTAATGTATAAGGTTAGGTAATACATCCTCTTCTTTCACACATTTTCCTGGACTAACATAAAATTACCGAAATAATGTTATGGACAAGCTTAAGTAATAAATATCCCTTTTTCACACATTAACCGAGAATAACATATAGCTACCGAAATGAAGTTACGGACAAACTTCAGTGATAAATATTCCTCTTTTACACATTTTTCAAGACTAACATATAGTTACCGACATAACGTTATGGACAAGTTTAAATAATACATATTCCTCTTTCTCATATTTTCCTAGAATAACATATCGCTACCGAAATGAAGTTATGGACATACTTAAGTAATAAATCTTCCCTTTATTTACACATTTTTCAAGACTAACATATAGCTACCGAAATATACCGATATATAAATATTGTTCCTGATTTAAGTGTTAAAGACGTCGCCTCGTGCCTCAGCAATTTCGGCTGACCTGTCCCTCTTTAAGACTCATGTGTGTGAAACGATACACATATCTATTGTGAGTTTAAGTATTGATCAGATTTCTGTTTTATTTGTATTGATATGATTTATTTTTTTTACTTTTAGAAATTGATAGAAAATTTGGCTGCTCTGTTTAATACGTCCGAGTAGCTGACCATATTTCAGAACAAGAGTTAGTTTGGCCTTCAGTGGATCAAACTGCAATTTAACTGAGCCCTGATTGACCATTGTCTTGACATTCCAGTAACAAGTGAGCAATGGATTCCGACTGATTGATTGGGCATACCTTATCATGGGGCGTTTTGTGACGCAGTCTGTGGCTAGAGATGGCTCTTCAACATTCCTTTCACAGGAGTATGAGTATGTTTATTTGTGAGGATTTTGGGTTGATGTTTTTATTGCCATCTTAGTTCTTTCTTGCGTCCAATTGGACTTGTCATATTTGGGCTATGAATACTTTGATTTTGTTTTTTCTCTAGTTTGCTGAAGGGTGTATGTAGTAATTCCGCTTTGTCTACAGCTAGCTTCGCCAGTGTTTCTGCTTTCACATTTCCACGAATGTCTATGTGAGACGGGTCCAACACAGCTCCACCTGTTTCCCTTGATCCGATCGTTTTGTATATTGGTATAGAATGTTATTGTCTGTGTTTGGTCTAGAGTTTGAGTTTCTGTATAAGGTTAAGGAATACATATCCTGGGATGAGTCTCTTTCCCTAGAGTTGCAAAAGATATCAGTTTGGGATGTTGGAATTGAGAAGGTGTGAGTATGGGCTGCTAGAACCGAAGAGAGGGTGAGTATGGGCTGCTAGAGCTGAAGAGAGGGTGAGTATGGGCTGCTAGAGCTGAAGAGAGGGTGAGTATGGGCTGCTAGAGCTGAAGAGAGGGTGAGTATGGGCTGCTAGAGCTGAAGAGAGGGTGAGTATGGGCTGCTAGAGCTGAAGAGAGGGTGAGTATGGGCTGCTAGAGCTGAAGAGAGGGTGAGTATGGGCTGCTAGAGCTGAAGAGAGGGTGAGTATGGGCTGCTAGAAAGAGAGGGTGAGTATGGGCTGCTAGAACTGA